AGCAGGAAAGCTCTAATTGAAGTTCGTTAGCCATATAACCAATTCATCTCACATAAAAACTTTTTTTGGTATAGGTAACATGTATAATCTTGTAGGAATGAGATTCAGGACAAGAAAGGTCGATGTGGATAGATAGTTCTGGACACGAAGTAAACCCAACCAGAAGACCAATCAGCACCTCCAAATAGATAGCACAATATCAAGTAAGAAATAACACATAAAACCAAGACTTTCGAGGCTTACCAGATTTCATATCCACTCTATCCACTTTTCCATATCTTCTGAAAAGCCTCTCCAACTCTGACTGTCTGGCATTATACTCAACATTCCCACAGAAAATTGGCCTCATTCCACCTGAGTAGAAGATCTCAAGACTCTTTCCACCCTGAGACCAGACAAGAAAATTACTCGTGATCAGGGAAGAGAAACAAATTAATTTAGTCCAACTCCAGCAAACATAATGTACTTCATCAGTACAGGTACAACAAGAGCCACACAGACGTCATAAGTAAACCACTCGAGAAACATTGTGCCTCCTTTTAATTACTTGTTTCTTTATACTAGTAATAATATGATTAGTAAAGTAAACATGATAAAATGCTTGACAATTTAGCATAATAATTGCTAGATATGTTCCACTTAAAATGCTAACTTAGTACCAAACGCTTAAGACAATCAATAAATAGATATAGCATTCTGTACTTCTAATGTATTACAATTACTTGTTTCAAAAGTTAACATAGCCAAAGAGTTTAGGACTTGTGGCTTTTCCAAGGACAATTTAGATATATATGGTCATTGTTTCAAGAGAATGGAATGACAGAGGGAGATGATACTTGTACAATTACAATCGAATGATTGAAATGGAGAAACGCTACCAAAGCATTATGAGATAGCAGGATGACCAAAGTGAAGGGTAAGTCCTTCAGAAAAGTTACAAGACCGGTAACGGTAATGTTATCTGGTAGTGAATGTTGGACTGCTAGAGTCCAAAATATCAACAAGAAGAATGTTGCAATCATACAAGATCAGATAAGATTAAAAATGGACACATTTATGGCACGCCTGAGGATAAAATGAGAGAAAATCACTTGAGTTGTTTGGTCACATCCTACAAATGCACCGGCGACTAGGTGTCAAACTATGGTGAGCAAAGGTGTTAAAAGGATATGAGATAGACCTAAAAATCACATAAACAGAAATTACCTTTAGAGACCTACAATTTCTTGAAAACAATTTAGTGTAGCTAAAGATAGGGCACAATGGACTACTTGTTGATTTTGAACCTATTGCTTTTCTTCAAGTATTTTGACCTTATTTAGGATCAACCTTGTGAATCCTTTAAGATGAATTTGATCAATTTGAACATGGTACTAAATATTTTGCATGTTAACATAGACTTGGTGTTTCTCTAATTCTCGCACTTATCTCTATACGATACACAAGTCTCTCCACACACAACATGCTTAAAAGAAATTGTTTTTTCTTCCACCTAAATATTTCGTCTCCATTTTTTATACTCATGGTGTCTGGGCTAGTTTTCGCGCACCTCAACTAATTCCGGGATAACCGCCACCTCCCATCAGCCAAAGATACTAGAAATTGTCCACCAATGCTAGAGCATATGGAAAGAAGCAACCTAGTATTTTTTATCTCAGCTGGGATTTTGAGCCTAAGACCTCATAGTTCTCAACCCACTTCATTGACCACTAGGACACACACTTGGGTGCTCCACCTAATATATCCTCATGTTATGCTAAAACCTTAAAGCTACACTCCCATCTTCTTGTGCGGAAATCAAGCACCAAAATGCTAGCAGACAAAGGTGACAAATCTCTCTTTTTTCAATGACGGTGGTGTCCAAGCTACCTATGCAAACCTCAACTATTCCACCAAGTACCAGTTACCTCACCAAGGCAAAGAGAGGAAAAGAAATCACCAAGTAGTATCTTCTGCCGAACATGATACCTAGGGTTCTCCTCCCACTTAATTGACCATAAGGCCGCACACTTGTGTACCCATAACTGAATACACCATTCGTCAAACCCATTAACATTTGAGTAGGTTGAAACACCCCATGGTCAACTTTAACAACCCTAATCTACAACCTTCAGTTTCATTTTTACTTATATAATACGTTTAGGCATCAAAACCCTTCACTTTCTAATCTTAACACCAACACAAACAAATCAATTTCCTAACCTAAAATTACAGATCCTCAACAAAAACCTTAATTTTTTATTTTTTTTAAATCATTTATAACCAAACTAACCAACAACCTAAAATTTCATTCCTCCACATAGAATATAAACCTTGATGATAAAAAAAATACTCAGATTCAACATTTCCCTATATACTTTACTGATTTCTACAAAATTAAAACAGATCTGAGAAAAAAACAGTATAAATTAGAAGATCTGATTGATAAATTAGAGAGCGATGAAGAATTGTTACCTCTTTCGAAAGTTGAAGAAATCGTGAAGTACAGCGATAGCTTCGAGGCTGAGTGAAAATATCTTTTTTTGACGCTATCTTACAGTGTTATAAACAACAGCGGCGAGTTTTTTTATTGACCAAAATACCCTTCTTGTAATAATTTTATAATCTATAATTTTCGTCTTATTTTATCGAATATATTTAGTTGAAAAATGAAGTTAAAGATTATTTTTTAAAGGGAAAATTATATGAAATAGCAAGTTTTTAATTCAAATTAAATGTTATAGTCATAGTTTCTTTTATTTCTAATTCGCGGCAAACATTCCATGTTTTGTCATTCCAAATATACAAATAGACCGAAATATACAAATGCAGGACCCATTTGTATACCGAAATATACAAATGCATGACCCATTTGTATACCGAAATATACAAATAGATCCAAATACATATTTTTTATGTAATGTATACCGAAATATACATATTAATAGTCATAGCAAACATAAAGTTTGTTATGGAGCGCAATTATACAAATTATAGTTATAGCATACAAATATGATTTTTATGTTTGCTAAATCTAAAATTTACTCTTCTTTAAAAATAATGTAATTTTAATGTGTCATACGGTTATAAAATTTATTATTAAAGGTAAAATGAAAAGTTAATTATATAATTTTTATTCTATTTTATACGATAATATTATGATGAACACATGAGATTTAAGATAGTACACCATACGATATAATTTGGCAGCGAAATAATCGGATGGACACATCATTCTACTTGTATGACTTTGTATTCTAAACCATTTTACTTATGACTTTATATTCTAAACCATTTTGCTTAACTCTTTAGCAATTAAACCGTTAAGCTCAACGAAACTCATACTTGAATTGGCAACGAGTTAAGTAAAAGGATCCAGAATGCGAACTCACTCATAGTCTACTATCATTTTTTAGAAACAAATTTAAAAAAATGTCACATAACCAAATGGAGGAAGTATTGGATTTAATATCATATATAACCAAATGTTATGATGGGATTGTGGATACCCTCCATTCTTAATTAAAGGGTTTCACAGGATTGTGGATACCCTCCATTCTTAATTAAAGAATTTCACGTTCGAGCCCTGAAGTTCGTATTTATCCCAAATTGAGACTTCATGACATGAACTCAAATTACTCTAACCTCAAAACGAATACCGAAAATCAGATGAAAATGACACACTAGCTTAAGCAAAATGTAATACATTGATTCATTAAAAATTAATGGACCAATTTCTTAAAAGTTAAAACATATCATAATCCCAAAAGTACCATAAAAAGAAATACATCAAGCAAAACATTGATTTGTCTCTAGCACCAACAGTTTTGTTGCTATATTGAACTAAATGTGTTTTGTTCATCTTCACAAGGACTTGAAGAACACGCCAACAACAAAAACAGCAACATATCAAGCGCAATCCCACAAGTGGAGTCTGGAAGGGTAAAGATGTATGCAGACTTTTACCCTACCTTTGTGGGAAACTTGAAGTACGCACCAAATCCAAAAAAAAAAAAAAATCACCCTCCCTTAGGTTGCTGAAAAAATGTAACAGAAAATTTATAGTTAGTGTACATGTACATTTGACATCTAATAATTCATAAATTCAATGTTTGAAATGAAATTAACTAAAACTAAAGAATTAATACCTGAGTAGTAGGTCTGGCCAAACTCCCCATCAACCTTGGGTCAGCATAGCCTGCGTGAATCATTTCTAAATAAATTTAACAAAAGAAGGATATGATAGGACATTATGAAGTTGAGATACGTCAACCAACAAGATTAAGTAAATTTCTACGTTTTTAGTGTACTTTTGCCAAGGTGTTTTCGAAAATAGTTCCCCTAGAAAGTAACAATGTTGGCTAATCAATATGAAAAACACTTTTCTCAATAATAGAGCAGCAATTTGTGTTTGGTCAAACTTTCAAAAGTGAATCCTCCTCAAAAACACTTTAATTTCCCTTAGAAGTTTGGTCAAGCACCTCAAAATTCTATAAAAATAAGCAATTTTTGCCTCCACAAGCTTTGGCCAAACAAGCTAGAAGTTGGTCATTTGCAAAAAGAGATTTAGTATTTAAATACATCCAGTTATATGGTGCAAAGTCTAGGATTAGAAATATTCTCAAGTACAAGGAGAATAGATGCAAAAATGCATAACGACTTTAAATTCTTGTCATCAAACTATAGTTCGGTTGATCTATCACTTTCTTTTATTCTTTTTTTTTCATTATGACGTAGGGTCAACCACTTGGGCTGACCTTAGGCGGGCACCCTTCCAAAGTGCAATGGAGGTCACCAGCCTAGACCATGGGCCTTCATGATCGCCCATTGACCCTGTCCAGATAAGTCTATCACTTTCTTTTTAAAACAAATTGATTCTTAGCATTGGTGAGTTTCAATGAACAATGAAATATGATAGTACTTGTTAATTATAAATTGTATGTGCAAATGAGAACCTACAATGAGCAAACCAATACATTGCAGCACTTGTATTCTTTATATGGATGATGAAAAAGAAACTTGCGTTGAATGGTATTTGATTAAATCATTGCAAATAGTCCTCCTTCTCCATATCCTGATTAAAACCACCATCAAAGTTGACATGTGCCTCATCTTCATTGTTTTGCTACATACATGGTGATGATGTGAAAAGTAAATATTATAAAAAGGATCATCCCCCAAATAGTTATGAGGATCAATTATGAGCTTCAACAAGCATATTTAACTCTGAGAAAAATTTAAGTTGCATTAATTTTATGATGTAATATCTAGATCTCTAAATTTAAATTCATTCCCTACTAGCTTTCTTGGTCTTCCTTTGGGTGCAAAACTAAAATCTCCTGAAGTTTGGAATGGTGTCATAGAAAAGGTTGAAAGGAGATTGGCAACTTGGCAATCACAGTCCTTGGTAGCATTCCCACATACTTCATTTCAGTTTTCACTATACCCTATGCCTAGTGCAGTGTTGAAGCAGATAGACAAATGGAGGATTTTCTCATGGCCTATGGGAGGGTAATTGTCAGACTCACAAGTTTTCATTGGTAAAGTAGGTCAAAGTCACTCAGCCAAAATCACAAGGGGGTCTTGGAATAAAAAATTTGAGTCCAGACAACAAGAGCATGCTAATGAAATGGTTATGGAGATATGGTCATGAAGATACAACACTATGGAGGACGGTAATTGATGCCAAGTTTGGAACCCACAGTCATTTGTGTTCTAAAAAAGACACAGGAATTCATGGAGTTGGGCTATGGAAACATTTTATTTTATATGGAGAAAGAAAAAGGTAGTTGGCCACCAAGCAGGCTTTTTCAAGAATATCTCCTATAAAGTGGCAATGAATCTCAAACAAAATTCTGCAAGGATAAATGGCTTGGCTGCAATGCTCTTAAAGACTCCTATCCCAGACTACTCCTCATAGAAACCAATAAAGACCTAGAGTCATATGTCATACAGAGATAGATAATTCTTGGAGCCCTCTATTCAGAAGGAACCTTTAGATACTGGAACTAAATGACCTCCTCACATTATTAGCCACTCTGAAACAGTACACAATTGAAGGACAGCACCGAGACAGAATGGTATGGGGGAACTCCATAAATGGGCAGTTTACAGTCAAGGACAACTACAATATCATGTGCTCTCAAAATGGTATAATTGACAAGTGACCTTGGAAGCATGTCTGGAAGGTCACCTTTGCTTTAAATGAAGCATCTCTAACACAGGACAATCTCAATATAGGAAAAACTGCCTTAGTCAATAGATGCTATATGTGCCTATAGGATTCAGCAAGTGTCAATCATCTGCTTCTACCTAGCCCATTTGCAGCAGTATCTGGAGTTTTTTTTCTGTTTATTTTCAGCCTACAGTGGGTCATTCCACATTCTACCAAGGATGTTTTCACAAGTTGGACTTTTTGAAGAGTTGACAAATCCATCAAGAAGATCTGGAGAAGGATTCCAGCAGTAATTTTTTGGTGCGTCTAGAATGAGAGGAACCGCAGGTGCTTTGATGGGATTTCAACTCCAACTCACTCACTGAAATCTAGATTCTAGTTCATTTGTTCAGTTGGTACTATAACTCCACCGTAAATAGTATTGACAGTTTTTTGGACTTTGTGAACTCCTTGGTTTTAGTTTAGACTTTATTGTAATGGAGCTAACCCACTTTTGTACCTTTTTGCTCACATGGCATCTTACTGATGGTTTTCAATGACAACTCTTTAGTATTTACTTCATTAAAAAAAAGTTGATCTGTAAATAGTATTCTTAAATCATTCCATATCTACTTTAAAATTGAGAGAAGATCAAGTTCAAACTTGAAATTCGAAAATACATGATTATCAGACAATAAGGAAGAGTATAGTTTTTACTTTTGATTGCATAATTGCAAAGAATAAAGAAAAATGCTCAAAAAGTATATACCTGATGAGGTTGATCATTCCCTTGATTCATGGAAGAAGCACTAAGATCACCAATGCCTTGTGATCCTTGCGTAGCACTAACGTTGTGAAAGACAGAAAAGTTACGAACTGGATCAAGCACAACATCAACTTCTTTCCCCCCTGAAAACATCATTAACAAATATAGATATAGCTTTAAGCTAAGATTAATGCCTGAAGAAGTGGTTATCATAAGTACTTATTCTTAAGATGTTGCAGACTGCCTGTCCGATAACCTGTAGTGTGAATCAATAAGCTGGGGACACTAGACTGCACTCCAAAATTCTCTTGATGAAATTGTCTATGTTTACCAAGCGTTCCAGATGCAATGGTCGATTGATTAGCCCTACTGGCTAAGTTTATGTCAGGAACTTGGATACTAGAGCTTGCATCAGTAACTCGGCGCAAGTAAATACGATATTTCTGCAAAGTGAGAACAAATTGCTTGAAATGAATGGAGGAACTGATGATTAGGACAGAACAAATTAAAAGTGCTACCTAAGTTTTAGTAATGATGATTTAGAGTCAGCAATTCTGTCATCAGCAAACAAAGTTGCTAAAGTAGTACTAAGTCAAAGACAAATGCAGCTACCATATCCCTGTTATTCAACCCAATGTCGTCAAAGAGGGACACATTTTGAATAGTAAATTAGAGAGGGGTTCTCCAAGCACTAAAAGGAATAGAATACATAAAAAACCCCAGGACATGATGGATTTAATGCCTTATTCTTCAAAAAGACATGGTCAATAATTGGAGAAGAAATAAAGATGCAGTACTGGAGTTTTTCAGAAGACAGAAACTTTACAAACCTGTGAATTGTACCAGTGTGAAACTCATACCAAAAGTAAAGAAATCCAACCAATGTAAGAGAATTCAGACCCTTATCCTGTTGCACTATCCTAGACAAAATTATGTCAAAGATAATCACTACAAGACCAAAGGAAGTCATGTCTCAGATAGCATAATACTAAGTCATGAGCTGATCAAAAGGTATGGAAGAAAAGGGATGTCTCCAAGAAGCATGGTCAAGGTGGATATGCAGAAGACATGATTCAGTGGAGCAGGAATTTACGGAGCAGGTTCTCACGGCCCTGAACTTTCCAGAGAAGTTCATAGGGTGGATCATGGAATGTCTTAAAATAGTCTCCTATTCAATCACTATCAATTGAGAGTTGAAAAGGGCTTTTCAAGCAAAGAACAGATTGAGATCATGGAATGCCTTACAACAGTATGTAGAACAGTCTTGAAAGGCAGCATTTACTTTAGTTCTATGTTTCTCAGACTCTTCAAAAATGTCGATGGGTGTGTGTAAGATCCTCCAAAAGTAGAGCATTTTTGGAGGATGCGACAACATTTTGGAGAGTCCAAGCAACATAGCTTCATTTGCAAGAAAGGAATTTGAGAGTCATCCAACAGAAGAGATGAGCCCTGAGGTGATCATACGTTGATAATACAATAATCCATCAATAGAATAGCTATGAAGCCAAAGCTAGCAGGAAGAATCCATCAATAATGAGTGTTATGTTGTCATTATATAAAAATCAAAGTAAGATTCTAAAGACGAAAGCTAATTGATGATTAATATTGCATATAGATAGTCAAGAATCAAGAATATCTTAATAATTAAAGTAAAACAAATACAAAAATCTGAGTTATCTTATTCTATAAGAGTATACACTAGTTCAAGCAAAGTAAAACAGAAATCAAACATTACTTCAACTATTTTATATGAGAAAACCATAGCAATAATAGTTAAACATATGTATTTAGAAGTAGACCTGCCAATGACTGGCGACATTTTCTCTAGTTAATCCAGGGACTTTCATGTGTTCATGAATCTTCTTTGGCACAGCTTCTGCATGAAAATTAAGCTAACAAATCATTGGCAGTTTAACATTCCTTTCTGTTAGACACCTCAGAAAAATTCTTTTCAATAATGTGAATACACTAGCAACAACAACTTACTGTCAAACCCAATGTTTCTAATGGCTTCCAGGAATGTGTTGTGAAGTGACTCTGTCCACATAATCTGACACTTTGTTGGTAGAACAAAATTGACACTGTTATCTTTGCCCTGTTTCCCCAGTTTCATTGCAGATTTCCCAGGGACAGGTTTTTTACCTCTCTTCTCCTTCAACGCTGTGCACAGCCCTTGATCTCTTTGATTGTCGACTGATACACCCTTTAGTCCTTTCAAGATTGTACCTTCCTTGTCGTCAGCTGACATCGCTGGCATTTAGTACATAAGCTTAAATCATAAACTTGTCTCTAACAACCAATGAATAGAACACTGAACATTTTACGGAGAAAAAAAGAAGAAGAAGAAATCAACTCACATAAAACAGGTATTTCAAACGCTTGGGCTATCACTTGTTGAAGTTCAAAGCCATTCATATCAGACTTGTGCACATCAGTGACAACGAGATCAAAAGAGTCGCCTTTGATCTTAAGTTTAGACAAAGCATCTACTGGATATTTGACAGTCACAACTGGAGAAAAACCAAAATAGTTTATTGATTAGATGTATTATGAAGGGGAAATGACAAACATTCCATATAGAAACATTTAAAAATCCAAATACCAATATCCTACACTACGTTGCTTATAAAAGCTCTGACATTAGGATTATTAGCCAAAACAAGGGAACTACTTTTTCCATACATATGCTGATGTAAGATCGATTATTGTGGTTATAGTAAAGATAATTCCATAAATACAGATACACTTAATGTTCTTATCAGATTCATTAAATTATTTTTTTCTGCTTCGCATAGTTCTTGTACAATTCTTACTACAAACCGAAAAAGAAAAAAGAAATTTTGATTTGATAATTCTCACAATATCATAAGTTAAATAGAAATTGGTGCAGTGGGGGAGTTTGAGAAGGGTGGGCAAGGGCCAAGGCATATATTGATGATCTGAGAACATTTCAACCAATCTATTGATAGACTCCTCTACATCTTTCACTAACAATAAAAAGGACTGAGAGCAACTATGTTCAAAAAGTGGTCTGTCGTTGTGATTCCTCTTCATTCTTCATCAAGTCAAACACACATCGGATCCAAAGAAGATCTAACAAAGTAAAGTGGAACCTAAAATTAATTGTTCCATTTCTTATTCCTAAAAAGGAAGTATAAACAATTTTGGTACATTCAATAGGTAATTTGAATTCATACATCATGCTACTTGAAGATCTAAAGCTTACCACTTTCAACTCTAGGATCTATCAAATTAGGGGAAGAAAAAAGCAATCATTGCATTCCAGAATCCACACCAAATAGGAAATGAAAAAAGAAGACGACAAAGACATCACCAAAGATTTGGTATAAGTACCTTGGTAGTTGCATTTCTTGAGTAGCCCAGCAACAACCGGAAGATACGTGGCATCATCATCCACCACCAAAATGCTGATTTTTTCAGCAGTTCTGAAAGACATATGTGTCTCAACTTCCATTGGTAAGCAAGGTTTGAATCTGCGGCAAAGATTTAACCTGTTAATGTAAATGAAGATCTATTAGGTCACACTGAATAATGACAATCGCCGCAGGTGTTGTAGATGGTTTTGTTCAGAGCAAGAAAGGGAAAAATTTATAGATAGAGCTGTCAATATGGGCCGATTCAGTCCATTCGGGGTAACCCATACATGCTTTGATTTTTTTTTATGACAAGGGAAACCCGCAGCCGCTACCCTTTGGGTGCGCACAGGCTTTGATTTTACGAGTTAGGCCAGGCTGGCTCATTATTTTGGTGGGCCAAAAAACAGTCAGCCCAGCCCATCATTATGCGGGTTGCAGCCCACGCCAGGCCAGCCCACTATTTTTAAAAGAATATATTTTATATAACTTAAATTTTGATTTAAAGAATGTTAACATAAATATCGACAAGATAATATTATATGCAGGGCTCCACCTGTACTTCTGAAAGTGCAATAGACATTGCAAACCAAATTTCTAAGCTAAAGTCAACAAACCCCCCTTCAGAGAAAGCAATGTTGACAAATAAGACATTATAAGGTAACTACAGTGTTGCATCTTTCGATAGCTATAATGAATTAGATAGCATCACAACAGTTTATTGAATTTGCATTTCGTCAACCCACCTCAGCAATGCAACTTTATTGAGATGACCAACAAATCTATATTCAAACGTTGATACTCAATCTGATATATGTCAACCAACCATTATAGAAAGTTGATCTCGTTTGGATCTTATGCAATACTGAAACTAGAACAACAATGTTCCAATAATAATATTGGCCAAACTAACATAACATTGAAAAAACATAAGTATATCATAAATGTATCAATAAATAAAAAAGGAGACAAAAAGGAAAAGGATCATCAGCAGGGGAAGGGAGATTTACTAGCTAGTGGCGACCACAAGAGAGGAGTGGTGAGCAGCAATGTTGATGGGGACAGGGGATCTTAGATCTAAATGGAGAAACTCGAGCAAAGGATGTGGTGCAATGGATGGGGTTGCTCCGCTCTTAATCAAAGGTCTTGGGTTCGAGCCCTAGGTATGGAAAAATCCTTGGTAGGGAGAGCTTCCCCCCGAATGGGGCCCTACACAGCGCAAATCCGGAATAAGTGAGCTCCAATGTGGGTACCGGACACCGGATAGGAAACCAAAAAAAAAAAAAAAACTCTACCAAAACTCACTCACAAGTACAAATATTTTCCTTTATTAAAAGTCGAGCTCCCAACGACCGACCTGCCAAAACGTAATGAACTATGAAATAGTCTTCTGACAGTCAGGTCTCCAACTAAAATTAATTCGACTGATGGAAGCCCTAAAAATCTTTTATTTGTCAAGAATTTTGGCAGACTTATTCCTACCAACAGAGAAGGAAATGTCCTCTAAAACATCTTCCTACAAAATGGTGCAAACAATCTTTGATGGATTGCAATGCCCTTTCAATCGAAAAACAAATCACATTAGAAATCAAGAAATTTAACTTTTAGACGACTTTTAGTTGATGTATATGTTGATGCCTTGACAGCTTCTTGGTCCATCGAAGGCCATCAAAAATCGACCAATTTCTTGAAGTGTGAAATTTCAAGGCATAAACTGTCATATGAATAGCATTTTTTGTGCTGAGATGATACAACTAGACCTAAGGTAGATGTGAAGGACTGTCAGACTGTTGTTAAGGGTCACACGGGATAACCTTTGACCACAAAATCTAGTCAATCACAATCTAACAGAGCTCAACATCTAATCAGTCACATTTATTCTTTGAAAGAACCTAACTGGAGCAGGAAATCCTACAATGCAGATCTCTCTACTAACCAAATCACCATGTATGGGTTATCTTGCATTCAAATTTACAGCTAAAGATTACTTTGATAACTTGGTGGACAATTGTAGATTCATTCTAATAGTGAAGTTCTAATGGATGAAACCTTAATTTTGGTGCAATTAGAAAAATGTTGTTACACATCCCACTTAGAGGTTATTTGGTACAAGGGACAAGGGAAAATAATCCCGAGATAAAATGCACGATTATTTTATCCTGCATTTGGTTCGGGGTATTAGTTAGTCCCTGGATTATCCCACCATTGTACTACAATGATGGGCTAAGTTATCCCATATATATAGTGGGATAACTAATTCCCCATCCCCTATACCATACAACCCCTTACGGTTAGTGTTGTTCATCCGTTCTAAAATGTAGACAGTGAAAACAAGATCATCAATTAACTCTTATTGCATCACATATGAGACCAGAAAGTCTATCCATTTTATATATAGAAGTCACGAGGATCATCGTTCATATATTACTTCCACGTCATCAAATATAGAGTTCTCCTAGGAAATAGTGCTAGAGCAGTTTGAGCCCCTCCTCTTGACATTATAGAATTTTGATACAGTGTAATCTATAGACGTGTGTAACCACACAAGAAAAAGGTTAGTACTTAGTACATACCGAAGTTTATAATGCAACCAACAGAACCAAAGAACCCAGTCCCCATCAGAGAAAACATGTTGTAATAAGGTTGCTTGAGATCATCATCATCAAACGTGTGCCCGATGTCTGCCATGAACTCTGCAGCAATTGAAGCAACAGACTGGACAGAGTTAATATGTTAGGAGCATCATCTATTTTGGGAAGATAGAAGTGAGAAGGTGGGACAACATGAAGCAATCCAACACCACAAAAGCAACTGGGCCATAAAAGGAAAAAAAATCCAAAGAATGACTGACTACATGGTCAGCGGTGGAAAAATAATCATCTCTTTAGATCAAAAAAACTGGTGGGGATTATACCGCAAGCAAGATGCTTATAATAGATTCTAACGAAGAAGCAGTCTATCGGATGTCATTGTTTCCGCAAGATAAGATTTACAGTTTTCATATATGAAATAATCTCCGTGTCCCAGCTTACAACATCCTCTACACAAAAAATGAACTAACTCAACAAGTTTGATGAATTCGCTTCGACCTTCAAGTAGAGAGATCATATTAACATGCTTGATTGACAGTGTAAGAAGTGTTGCTGCACAATACATTGAATTGAGAATGGGGCAAGTATTATGGAGCTGAAATTATCAAAAACTTGATTGTGGTAAAAAGAATATAAGCATCAACCCCAAATCTCATTACAAAATCTCTAATATCTCATCTTAGATCACCTTCAAAGAGAATCAATTCTACAAATTAAATAGCTAAAACAAAACCTAACAACTTCATAAATAGAATATAACCATCAATGATCAAACCAAACAGGAGATAATGTCGAATAAGATCTCAATTAAACCAATAGTAACACTAACACCTTCTTGTTAACTACCGTCTGTACTGTTCTGATGAATGCAATATTGATATTACAAGAAAAAGTACTACATGAAGTAAAACCTTTTTAATTTTGTGGCACCGTTCGAATTTCGAGAGTCAGGACCAAACTCGGAAAGCAATGGAACATAATGAAACTCTGCTTCTGCAAAGCTGCTAGAATCATATCAAATGAGTAATACATAGCTAGATGATCGATAACAAACCAAAATTACGCCATTAGTGAAGCCATATTGATGAAAAATCCTATTTGCTGCTCGGAGATGGGTTGATAAATCCTACGGTGGCGGTGGAGGGCTGATTATCCGTCTCCGGCCAAAAATTGTGCACTATACCAAAGCAACGGAAAAATGCCAAAAATGCCCTTATCTTTGTGTTAAACTATCCTTCAAATTTCTCAAAAATTAATAATTTAGCTTGTTTGGTTGAGGAATAAGTAATAGCGAGATTAGTTATTTCGAAATTGTTATTTTACTTTTGATAGTTATCCTACGATTTTACTTCAATTAAATATGAGATGAACTCATCTTAAAATGAATCTCGAGATTATTTATGTCTTATCTCACGTATCAAACGAGCTCGTTTGGTATGAGGAATGAGGATGATAGTTTCGGAATAAAATGTAAGATTATTTATCTTTATTTAGTTAAGGATATTAATTATTAGTTCTGAGATTATTTACCCCATCATTTATTCTATAATGATGGGATCAATTATTATATTTTATATGTGCACAATTAATCTCATAAAATATCTCTATTTATGGAATAACTTTATTTATCTCATTCTGATACTAAACCATTCTTAAGTCTACCAAATTCACAAGTTAAATTTGATGCAAACTATGGATCATATTTAAATATTTAAAAATATTTAGTAAATTTTTATTATTATATATACAAGGTAATAATAATAATAATAATAATAATAAAATTATATTTAAATATTTAGTGAATTTATTATTATTATTATTATTATATATGCAAAGTTTGAATAAATATTACAGTATTAAATTCCACAAATCACACAATTGTATACCATTCAAATCACAATAGTACTTTGGACTAATTAGGCTGAGTATTTAATAGCAACCCTTTCCTATTTACGTGTGGACACAAAAGTTTATATGTCAAATATATATATATACTAGATTTACATAAATGGTATGTTTTGGGGCTAATAACGAAGTTTTTGAAGCGATTGTTTGCGTGGATAAAGGAATAAGCTTTTTTATCACAAACCTGTACTTTCTTTGACGCTATTCAAGGCAGAATAAGACTACCCACATACAACATTATTGAACAATTTTATGTTGTCAATTATCACAATTTAATTTTAAGAATCAGTCAATTTTTTTTCTGTTTTTTTAATAAATATTTTAAGTTGTCAATTATCACGATTTATTGTATTTTATACATAATTTTTAACGATAGATTAATTTCAAGAATCAATCGAATTTTTTTAAATGTATTTATTTTTGAAATATTTTATGTTGTCAATTATCATGATTTATAGTATTTTTACGATAGATTAACTTCAAGAATCAATGGAATTTTTTGTATCTTTTTCAAAACATATTTTATGTTGTCAATTATCATGATTTATAGTATTTTTACGCAATTTTTAGATATAAAATTTTTTAAAAAATAAGACAAATAAATTAAAATGGACCCAATATATGTTATTTTTGTTGTCTCAATTTATGTGACACAAATGAAATTTGGAGAGTCATTGAATATTATATATTATACTTGGGCATAAACTCTCTTACGCACGGGCCCAATAACTATTATTTTTTGTCCTAATGTATGTGACACAGATAAAATATAGTGAGTTATTTAAATTTAATATGATTTTTAAATATTTTAAGTTGTTAATAATGTAATTTATAATATTTTTACGTAATTTGTAAATACTTAATATATATTACTCTACTTGTCTCAATGTATGTAGCATAGATAAAATTTCAAGAGTTAATCAAATGTTGTTAATTGTTAAGATTTACAATACATTTTACGTAGTTTTCAGTAATTTGACATTAAATAATACATATTACTACTTTTGTCTCATTTTATGTGACATTGATAGATTAATTTTAAGAATCAGTCAATTTCTTTTTTTGTGCATTTTTAATAAATATTTTAAGTTGTCAATTATCACGATTTATTGTATTTTATACATAAATTTTAACGATAGATTAATTTCAAGAATCAATCAAAAAAATTTATATGTATATTTTTTAAAAATATTTTATGTTGTCAATTATCATGATTTATAGTATTTTTACGATAGATTAACTTCAAGAATCAGTGCAATTTTTTGTATCTTTTTCAAAACATATTTTATGTTGTCAATTATCATGATTTATAGTATTTTTACGCAATTTGTAAATATAAAAAAATAATTAAGACAAATAAATTAAAATGGACGCAATATATACTATTTTTGTTGTCTCAATTTATGTGACATAAATGAAATTTGAAGAGTCATCATTTGCACTTTTTTTTTAAAAAAATTTTTAAGTTATTAATTATTGTGATTTATAATATTTTATGTAACTTTCAAATAACTTCCTAATTTATGTGATATGGATAAAATTACAAAATTAACCCTTTTAAAATGTCTTCCAGATATTTTAGGTTGTTAATTATTATTATTTTTAATACTTTTTTGGTAATTTTAAAATGATATATGTTATTTTTTCTGTCTCAATATATGTGACCCGGATAGAATTTTGAGAGTCAACCTATTTTATGGTAGAATTTTAAATATTAAATATTTTAAGTCATTTGTAAATGATTTATTATATTATATTATTATATATTATATTATATATATATATATATACATATATATATATATTATTTATTTTCTACTATATAATAAAAGGGAGTTTATGTATATATTATATTATATTATATTATATTATATTATATAAGTAGAATAAACTCCCTTAGAAAATAAATATATATTATATATATTATATAGTAGAAAAAATGATTTATTATATTATATTATTATATTATGTATTATATAGGGAGTTTATGATGGGACATTCAAATGTCCCATCATAAACTCCCTCTTATATATAAGTAGAATAGAATATATATATATATATATATATATATATATATATATAATTGAGTTGGTATTATTGTGCATTTTAATATTAGAAATTAAAATATTAAATGCTCGATAATTAGTAGGCATAAAGTGTAGAAAGTTGTGGCATGATCAATTGTAACTCATATAACAATAATAACATGTTCTCCTCGTTATCTCCTATTAATTGCTCCACTAATCCTCAAAAATCATACATGGTTGAATAGTGAAAAGAGATTAGAAGGGGATGAGAAGTACTATATTTTATTTACTTTTTGAGGTTAGTGTAGCGAAAGAGATAGTTGAAACAAGGAAAATAAATCTAAGTCTCCAACTTGTTTGCTATATAAAAAGAGAAACAATAAGTCGAAGGAAAGAGTTCTTTTGGTGGAGCTTTAACTAATCTGAAATTGTGAGTTATATGATGTTGTCATATTATTGTATTTTGGAAGGGGAAAATCAAGAGTTATACTCATGATTGAAGTAGATTATGCCATAGTAGACTTGAATCTCCATTAATAATTACGTAACGATATTTTTATTAATAAAACTATGCAATAAAATTAGTGAAGAAGATAAACAATTATAAAAATAGTATTTTTCTTCTTCTAAAAAAATTAATAAAAACAATCAAAAATATTGTAATGAAACTGAATATAGAGACAACATATAATGCAATAGCAAAAAGTAATACTTTGGGAGCACTTTACCTACCAACATTAATACTTTGGTGGCCATAAGTTGAATCGCCACTAAATGTCGTCGCAATAGATATGCTTTATTATAATGCGTAAATCGCATTGGATACATGCGATTTACTGCATGTGACTAGTTAATTGGATCAGAGATATAACTTTCTTTACCCTTTCTTTTTAGCTGTAAATATTAAATATATGATAGATATATATTATTTTTTATATAAAAAAAAAATCTTTTAATTCCTTTATAAAAAATCTTGTTATTTTCTTTATCTTGTATTTAAATTAAGTTACTACAAGGATTTTCTGAAAAAAAATTACCTTATATTTAATTTTTTAAAACTTCATTCATTGTTTTTTCTCTCTCTTTTTCTTTATTATTATTGATTTTATTTTCATTTTATTTTCTTTGTCTTTCCTTTTGATTTGGTTTTAAATTTAATTCCAAATATCTTCTACTTAAAATAA